TTAAAAATTTTGTGAGTGTATTTTATTCTATTCTATTCCCCCAAATCTATACTTTCAAAACATAAGTATTTCATGAAGTTGCAAAATTTTACATTCTATGAATTTCCTGGAGAAAGTCAAGAAAGCCAAGATATGTAGGCTGGGAGATGTCTGGGTGGGTAGAAACGTTTGCTTTTCCAGCCTTAGGATATGAGTTCAAATCATCAAAAAGAACCTGAATATGAGTGTATATGTGTCTATAACCTCAGCATTGTGAACTCAAAACAGACGGATCCTATGAGCTCCCATCCTACTGAAAGCAGCCAGCTTTCAGCTCATTGAGACCGTGCGTTGAGGCAATAAGGCAGAGAGAGAGAAAGAGACAATGAAAACACATGACATTTTACTCTGGCTTCCACACATGTACACACACACACACACACACACACACACCAATAGAGGAGGAGGAAGAGACAGAGATTGCTAAAATAGAAGATGGTTTTCTTCCTAGCGTGAAGGCTGTTTGTCATGCCTTGAGCATCTTATTTGGTAGAACTGAGCAATGGATGGTCAGCAGGTTAAAAAGGTTCTCATGGTCTTTAGCAGTGCTCCAAATGGCAGTTTACAGTTGTGGAATCTCACTGTGGCTGAATTGCCACTCAGACTGCAGCTCACAAAGCCCCTGCTTCAGTGCGCATGTCTTCTGGGCCTGCAGTTGGATAAGCTCCATGCTACCAACACACCACACCCCCACTCTGTATCGCCACTGGATGACCAAAGACATACCAAGTTCACTGTGTTTACAAATCATCACCTCCGCCGTGGCTAGGGAACTCCTCAGTATTTACTCTTTGAATTAATGGAATGCTACCGCCACGTAGCTAGTTGCCAAGGTCTGTAAATTGGAAAAATCACCCTTTCCTGTGCATATAACAGTTACTCACCTGCTAAGATGCTTTTCATCTGTCTATGTCGTTATGGCACACATTGTCACAACCAAGATCTAATCTTCCGCTGAACTGATATCATCCAGGCCCCTCACCCCAGCCACCCAGTTCCCTCACTGAAGCTAGTGTAAACAGGTGTGGCCTTTTTCCCATCACTGCAGCAGAGATGTCCACACGACTTCTCATGCCTTCTCTTCTGCCTCCTGCCCTGTAATTTGTCCGTGACTCTGGATGCCTCCACTGTTTCAGGATACTATATGTTCTCGTCTCAGTTTCCCTCCCTTCCTTCCCTACATGGTTGTTTCATACTCAGCCCCCTCATGAGGTCAACTCAGAGACCCTCTACAAACAGCGAGGGGCAGTCCCCAAATGAGAACGAGCCTCACTTCACCTATTACAGAAATCTCTGTCCTTTGCTGTAAGCATTGCCTATAGTTTTAAGTTTGGGGAGGCAGCAACTAGTCCAGCCACAACGCAGTGTGTAGTCCCTATAGCAGAGCCAAACATATTGTTTGACAGAATCAAGTGTCTTGATTATCTTTATCCTAAGCCTCTCAACTAAAATAACCAACTTGGAAACAAAGCTGAGAAATTTAAAATCAGTGTTTCATTTCAAGTAATATTTTTCTTTAGATTGTTTTGCTCATTTTTTATTATCATTATTATTCTCTGGGAGTCATTTTGTTTTTATTGACTTAGGTAGGGTTGCCCTACTGGATGCTTACTGGGATGCCTGCATAACCTACAAGCCAATTCTTGTCTATTTTGTCTCTGTCTCAGTGTCTGCCTAAGTTCCTCCCAGAGGACTAAGATGAGTTGCAGACTTTAAGTGGATTCAAGTAAAATATGTCATCCTTGGAGTTGAGAGCAGAAACAGCTCAGCCAGTGTACAGAGAAATTTGGTCTAGAGAGGACAGGGAGCAAGGAAAAGGGAGGAGAGGAAAGGTCCAGAGAGGAGGATGAGGGAGAGGCAGTGATAAGGAGAGAGCGAAGGAGAGGAGAGAGAATACATGAGAGGAAGGGGAAAGAGAGAGGAGGGGGAAGAGAGAGGAGTCTGAGATTCAAAAGATGGGAGGGAGTATGGAGAGGAGAAGAAAGGAAAGAAGAGGGGACAGGGAGGGAGTGGAGGGGAGAGAGGGGAGGAGAGAATAGAGGGGAAAAGAGGAGCAAAGGGACAGGGGAAGGAGAAGAAAGAGGAAGAGAGAAGTGGGAAGTTAGGAGAATGAGAGGAGGAAGAGATGCCAGTGGGGGAGGGAAAACAGAAGAAAGAAAGGGAGGAAGGAAGGAAGGAAAAGAAAATGGAAAAGAGGACAAAATGGTAGAGGAGGGAGGAGAAAAGAGGACAGGACAGAGAGGAAAGCAGGGGAGAAGAAAGAGAGAGGAGATGATAATACATTCTAGGGCTTGATGAGTTCCTGCCTCTGTGTTGTCTTCAGATAGTTTTCACTTAAAAATTACTGTGTGTGTGTGTGTGTGTTAGCACACATGTAGATATCAGAGGACAACTTGAGAGAGTCTTTTAACCTTAATATAAATGTTCTTTTTCTTGCCTAAGCCAGATTAATACACTTTGACTTTTAACTGTGTTAGTGTATTTTAAATGATACTCTGGCGTGGGAAGTTCTTCTGTATATGTGTTGCTTTTATTAGTTAATAAAGAAGCTACTTTCAACCAATGACTTAACAGAATATAACCAGGCTGGAAGGTATATATATATATATATATATATATATATATATATATATATATATAGAGAGAGAGAGAGAGAGAGAGAGAGAGAGGGAGGGAGAGTAGGCAGAGTCAGAGAGACGCTATGGAGCTGTCAGAGGAGAGAGACATGAGCTGCTTACCTTGCCAGTAAGCCACAGCCACGTGGCGATAAACAGATTAATAGAAATGGGTTAAATAAAGATGCAAGAGCTAGCCAATAAGAAGCTAGAGCTAATAGACCAAGCAGTGATTTAAACAATACAGTTTCTGAGTGATTATTTTGGGGCTGAGCAGCTGGGAATGAACTAGTGGCCTCCTCCAACAACAATACTTGGTAAAACATTAATTTGAGTACACAGATAATTTCTAATAATTGTGGACTGGTACATGAAAAATAAGATGTGCCTTCCTCACTCAGTTCTTCTAGATGAGACTGTAGCCTATGGTACATTCATCCCTTACACTGGTAGCAACAGCACAAGAATGATCTGGAAAACAGAGGTGCTGCTTAGCTTGCTGTCCTTGTGAGGAGAAATGAAGTGTGGAAGACTGGATGAGGGTTCCTGCCAAGTGAGAAAACTACACCACTGCTTCAGTGAAGCAAAGACTCTGAAGTGTGCTTTGAAAAGTAGAGTGCTGACTTCAAGACACACATCCCTCAGCATCTCCCAGAGTTGGCCAATCAAAGCATCCAAAGGGTACCATGCCTTCAGCTTTTATAGGTAGGTTCAATAAGTACCTAGCATACCTGCTAAGTTCCAGAACCCCAATCCAAACCGCACTCCCTTACAACTCATCTAGGTGTATTATGAAGCCCAGTCTTGGCTGCTTGTTGAGAACTTGTGAAGAAAGACATGGGGAAGATTCTCAGTTTACTCCACCCTCCTCCCCTGTCCTACTCATTTGGAAGGAATGTAATCTGATAGAAAAATTATTTTATGTTAGCCCCATTTGACCCTGGTTCAGCCTTCACAGGAAGCAGGACACTGACGGATTGACACATCCTCTACTTCCTTGCCCTGTAGAAGGCACAGCCATTCTGCCTGTCAAGTTCTCTGTTACTACCAGCGGGGGAAAAATGTTTATGGCAGACATTATAAATAGCCATAACTTTCTCAATAAACTGAAATTGCTACGTAAGAGTTGGATTTAATTAATCACCTTGGCATAGTTGGAATAGAAACGGCATGAAGAATCTTGAATTTTTAATTAGTCAAAACTAGAATACATTATGTAGGAAACCCTCACCCCATCAAACTATGAACCATCATTGATTAGTATTGTATAGCTTAAGGAAACAAATGCTTCTTTGGCATTTCCACAGGTAACATTAGCACACAGTATAGTCCCAGTCCTCTCTCAGACCACCACTACAGCTCAGCCAGTCTTATGGAAGGTTTCTGGAAAACTTATAAGAAAATATAATCTTGTTTTGCTTAATCTCAGAGGAGAAACAAAAGCTAAATAATTAAAATCAAGGATCTATATTTGCCTAGTCAGCTTACTGAACTTCTTCCCCAAATCAGAAAACATCCTACAGATGGAAAACTCCCAATTAGGAGAAAGGATAGCTTTAATAAATAATCAAAGTTGTTCATCAAGTATTAATGATTTCTAAGATTTATTAAGACCATCATAAAAAAAAAAACAACATAGGCATGACCAATGAGCCACGAAACCAAAATGTTCAATGCTCTCTGCCAAATGTTCTGATTGCCAAGCTGATTCTTTAGGACAAACCTATATTTTTGTGGTGTCTGCAAAATATGAATTATCTGCTTGGGCTGTGTGGGTTGCCATGCGCCCTCATTATGGAAAAGGCAACGAGGAAGAGCTTGTGTTTCCTATCATGAACCATTTTGTTCTTTCCCTACATTAAACTAGTCAACCTGTCTTTGGAAATGCCAAGAGTTGGTTGGAAAACACACTCTGAAAACATGCAACTTACAGAAAAAAAAATCGAGGTTATACACTGACTAATGGTAACTCTGAGCTTAAAAGGGAATAACAGGTTAAAATAAATCGCTTTAGTCAGGCATCTGAAGCCAGCCGAATGTCAATGGAGACCACATTACTTTGGGGTTTCTATGAAAACTTAGGTTGCACAGTTGACAAGCTTTGTGTCCAAGGCAGCTTTTAAAGCCATCTTGCCTTTCCAACATTGTCTCCTGACTCTAAAGGGGCTGTTTGTTTTGTCTTAAATGCTTGTGAAAGTCCCTCTGGAATCATACCAAAAAACCTGTGCCATGTTAAACTTGACCTTCATCTTTTATGAGAGAAATGCTTATGCATAATGTATTTTCCAGAGGATGGACTCTTGCCAGGAAGCAAGAACTCATGTGGGAAAAGACAGTGAACCTTACCTGGGTAATCATTCTTGTCTATGTCTGCATCTCCTCTTAGAGAAAAGCCAAAGCCAGAAGGGATGGTGTGTGAGTCCCACATTCCCTGCAGAACTTGGGAAGGCTTGGTGTGTAAGCCTTTGGGGTTGCCATTGTAAATGAGCACTTCACCTCTTTGGTCCTTGCCTGCAAAGGGCACGCCGATGGCGATGTCTACAGAGAACAAAGGAAATTTAAAGAATAATTAAATACAATCAAAAGGCAATGTCATACGACCCACATGGCCTTTTGCATTTTCTAAAGGTTTCTGGAGTACTGTAGCAACAGAGAGGCCCCATTGCCTCCCGTCAGTGTGATGGATGTCGGCTGAGAGGTCACTGGGTGCTGCAAGCAGCAGGTAGAAAGCCAGTGAGATTCTCAAAGGCCCTGTGTTTGCAAAGTCTGTGTTTCAGAGGAAGGTAATGGACACTTTGAATAGAGACACAATTAAGGAAATAGTAAAAGCAGTAAATGGTACAAAACATCTTTTTTAAAATTACTGATACAGTGGAGAGAGATGACATTGTTTTAGGCTGGAGTGGTCAGGCATTGTGTCACTGTGCCTAGCATAGATACTGAAATTTATGGTCACAAAGAAACCAAGCATGTGACTATTAAAAAGGAAAAGCACTTCCTCCCCTTCCAGGAGAAGTAGCCTGGAAGAGGTGGAAGGAGGGCGGCTCATCTGAGTAGCAGAGAAGGAAGAGAACTATTTATATGGGGCCTCAATGTTGTACCTTGAAAGGTACAGCCAGGCACTACCATGTGTCAGGGAAGGGGCAGACCAAGTTAGTTACCGGTAGTTTTAGAAATTTCTTCTTTCAAAGATCAAAAGCTCCATTTTCACAGAATGTTTTATTTAATAGTTCCCTAATCTAATGAACTAAAAAAAGCCCATCTTATAATTAAGGGTACTAGAAAACCTAGATTGAAGCCATATCACCAACTCTCACCCTAATATGAAACATTTATCTCCTGCCATATGGGTCATTAGGAAAGTCCTGAATATTAAATAGAAACTATTGTAGTTTAAAAAGAAGTTTCCAAACAGTAACAAATGAGTTTGCCACATGAGGAACCTCATTTGTTGGTGAAATGACCCACTGTACATATGAGGAGGTCTATAAATCCACTTCCACTGACCTTCTGAAGAGAAATGATCTAACAACGGCATTATAGAAAATATAGACATTGCTGTGCGTTTGGTGGGAAGGACCACTTTCTGCACTCCCACTAAATCCATGACTTCCCAGCTGTCCCCAAGCTTAAGCCCAGCTAGTTTGGCATTATTTTGCTTGTTTTGTGCTCCAGACCACCAAGGCTCAAAACCCAAGAGATGCTTCTCTTAGCTTTTAAGAGCATCAGAACTGGCTTAAGGGCAAAGACAGCAGAAAATAGGATGAAAAAGACAACTGACACAATTCGGCATCATGCCTTGCTGGGGATAGCTGTCTTAGGAAGCAGCAAGCCAAGCTACTTTGAGGAGAAATGTCTTTTTCATTCTCTCAGAATAGCATCTAACATGCACTTGGTTTTTGCCTCCATTCCAGAGCTTGAGTCAAGGGCCTCCTACATGCTAGGCAAGGGCTCTACTGTATCCATGACCCAAGCATGTGCATTTGTAGAACTCTCAACATCCACTCTTTACTGAGAAATTCTTTTGCAAAGAAATTCTGAAACACTTGGTACTGGTGCCTGCGACTATCCCTCTGATGGGAATCCTCCCTATGCTACTTAGGGACAGAAAATTCCTCTTATACCTTCTTCTTTGAATGATAAATACACTGTATCTTGGTTCTTCACCTACATGTCCTGAAAATGTTCACAATTTTTTATGTGAGCATTCAGTATTTACTGAGATAGTATTTAAAAAGCATCTATGGATTCCTTACTTAAAGAACAATGTGCCCCAGATAAGAATTTAATACTATTATATCTCCAATATGGAAAGGGCCTTTGCAATGACATTTGCTGACCAAGAATTAGCCTGTAAAACAGGCATAACCAATATAGTTTCTGGGGTTTTTTGTTGTTGTTGTTTGTTTATGTTTGGAGACAGGGTTTGTTTCTCTGTAGCTTTGGAGCCTGTCCTGGAACTAACCCTTGTAGATCAGGCTAACCTCAAACTCACATAGATCCGCCTGCCCCTTCTTCACAGATGCTGAGATGATAGGCATGTGCCACCACTGCCTGGCCATATAGCTTCATCAGAATACAGTACTATATCTGCTAAGCTACCAATGTGTATTTATTCCCACTCTATTCATAGATAAATTTCTATATCTCTCAAGCCACCAGTGAGAAATCATACATGACAAAAATCTCTATGCAACATCTTAACTTTAATTAATCAAACCATGCAAACTTAAATTTATCTTGAGATTTTTCAAAATTTATTCAGAGTCAGCAATAATAAACCACCCCCACCATTAAGAATCTTTTAAGTGGCCATATTTTCTTCTTGCAACAGTAACACAGCCTTAAGATGCAAGCAAGTCCCATACATTGCTCTAATTACCGTTGTATCCATCTTGGTTCAGGTCCCCCAAGTGGGCCACAGCGCTACCAAATCTCCCAAAAGTCTCTGTGCCGGTGAGGACCTGTGGGTCTTGGAAGAGGAGGGCACTCTCTTGTAGGTACAGGTAGACCTGCCCTACTTCTCTAGGGTTACTTTCAAATTCACGGTCCATAAAGAGGGGTGCCCCGATCAAAATGTCGTCCATTCTGCAGGGAACAGAGAGAGGGGACAGTCAGTAGACAAGTAGACAAGGTTCTCTGGTGTGCTTGTGATCAACCAGAGGAGTCCTCCTCCTCTGGTGTGGTTCCTTTCCCGAGGGCCATTTTACAACCATCGGATTTCCTTCATAGCTTTGTTATGTCTACAGAGCAGAATGCCGGAGAAAAGAAAGGTTGTTAAATTATCACATTGAACTTTCCAACTATGCGAAAAATGACTGAGAAGCCACAGACATTTCATCCTTTCTGGCTTGTTAGTGCATTTCCAGAAACTTCGCACACATGGCAAACCTATCAAACAGACCTGAGCAGGTTTTCGTGTTTAAGGACCATGAGAGTTTGTCTGTAATTTATTGAACTGACCCCGACTTCTTGAAAGTCACAGATTTCAAATAATTTTTGTCCTGTCCTTCCCTTGGTTAAATAAAAGAAACCAGAGAAGTGATTAATGCTGGCTGGAACACAACTTTTTAATTACTGATGAGATAGGCAGTCATTCTGTGTATGTCATAGCTAGAATCTAATAAAAGATGTTTTTAAGAATTTAGGGGTGAGTTATAACTACTATGTGTTTAAGAAACAAAAGTGGCTAGAGGCGTCTTCTTCACAGAGGCAGACATCACTGAAGGGACAGTACAGGGAATTTTCTATTTTGCCAGGAGACTTCAAAGTATTTGATTTGATTTTTTTTAAAAAGTTAAGAAAATTCCTGCTAACCAAAATGTATACTTTGACCTCTCTGAATGAGCGCTGCTAAAGTGTGTCTGAAGACAAGTCTATCTTGGCAGACGCAATAGTATGAAGTTACAAGTTTACCTTTGACTCCTGTCTATGCAGCTCAATGTTGAGGTTTGCCAAGTTACCTAATAACCTGAATGCTCTCAGTCACATAATTTAACGATACATTGCTATGATATTCCTACTAATAGTAAACTATTAATACAGCAAGTATATTAATATCATATAAAGTGTGATAATAACAATGCTTTGGTATGTTAGTATAAATATATAAAAGTGATATTAATATATGACAAAATTATAATATAATTTTTAAAAAGTAAGGAATGGGGTGGGAAGCTTTTGAAAGCCACATACTTTATTCCTTCTCTTCCTTCTCTTCCTCTTTTTATTGTTCCCTCCTGTTTTCCCCCTCCCCCTCTTCCCTCTTTCTCTTCTTTTCTTCCTTTATTTCTCCATTTCTCTCTCCTTCCATTCTTGCCTCTTCTTCCTCTATATTTTCCTTTTTGACATAATCTCCTTACGTAGCCCAGGCTGGCCTTGAACTCATGATCTTTCAATCTCAGCCTCCCAAACGCTAGAGTTATAGATGTGCGCCACCATGTCCAGCTTTAGAGCCAAAATCTTTCAGAAGCTCTAAGTAGTGTGACTGTCTCACTATACTGACTTCATCTTCCTGACCTCTCCCTGAATTCAGAGCTCACCTATAGTAGCAGTTCACCATCTATTTCTCAGGGCTCTTTTCCTTCTGTTGGTTTATCTTGCCCAACTTCGATGTGATGGTTTTGTTTCACCTTATTATATCTTATGTATTTAAATGAATGAATGCAAGCCTTGCTGCTAGGGTAAAGGTTAAAAACTGAATTATATCTCCTGGAAGAGGAGGAATCAGTTTTCTTTAATAGAGTGGGTATATAAAGCACTTTAGGACAGGCCTCACATAGTTGACCTACATACAGTGAATTTCATATTATGTGTGGGCTTTTTTATTCGGCTAAAGTTTGGTGGGTTTTTTTTGTTAGTTTGTTTTGTTTTTATTTTAAATGTGGTTTTATTTTGTTTTCTTGGCTGTGTTGTTTTTTTGAGAAAGAACATCAAGTAGGGTCGGTCAGGAGGGGCAGAGGATCTGGAAGAGTTTAGGGAGGAGAAATAACATGATCAAATTATTTTTAAAATTAAATTGTTTTAAATAATAAAAACATAATAAAACAAAAAAGTGTATCGTGTACACCTGCTAGGTTTAAGACTATAGTGAATAATTTCAAAAGAATAGAGTGCTGAATATTGGGTGAAGTCAAAACTCAAAGAGGATATACTTTCAACTTATCACTCATATAATCACAAACAAAGCAACTTGAAAAAAATAAAATTAGGATCCAAAGTAGTGCTGAGGTTATGGACAGAGGAGAGGCTGGCGCACAGAAGGAACAAAGAGACACTGATACGTGGAAGTCTACAGGATCTGGGAGGAAGCATTCCAATGGCCATGTTGAGAGTGAAGGAAGGCACCAATGAGCAGAGGCAGAGAACACTGAGTGGTGGAGGTGAGCTCCGTGACTTGAGCATTCTAGCATATTCAGTTGGAAAGGTAAAACGTATAAGCAGTCCTTTGAATTCAAAAATTGAAAGATAATCATGTATACCAATATTATATATTCTAGTGTTATTGTATGTAATATTATGTAACACCATAGGTTATTTTATGATCATGTTATATTTATATAACATACAATAAGAACTTTAAGCCAAAACCTATTAAACTTGGGCAAAATGTCAGAAAAGATACCTTCTCAAAGAGGATACACACATATGAGAAGATGTTCAATATCATGTCGTTAGGAATTAAAAATTTAAATAATGAGGCACTACTGTAAATTGCTTGGAACAGCTGAACTCCAGATGCTGTTATTGCCAAAAGTTAGAGTGGCTCTGGAAATATGCAAATCAATACAGCTGCTCTGAATCAATCTAGCAGGTCCTTACAAAGCTACACATAGGATGGTCACATATGATCTCACATATGATGATCTCACTTGATTTACAGTCCTCTTTAGTTTTCCAAGTGAACTTGATATTTAACGCACACATGAAAATCCGCATGCAGATCATGGCAGCATCACTGCTAAAGCTTGGGAAACAACCAAGATGCCCTCAAAAGCCGTGTTACATCATCTAGCAGAATGTTCATCAGCAAAGGAAAGGAATGGGTACAAAACCATGGAAAGATGAAGAAAATGACACTTACTACTGATTGAAAGAAGCCAGTCTAGAAAGACTACACATTTCAGGCAAATCCCAAACCGTGGAAACTAGGAAGAGCAGTGATTGCAGGAGTAGGGTAGGTGGAGGGGTCAGGAAGAGGTGCCTGGGGTTTGTAAGGTAGTGACGCTGTAATGTCGCCTGTGGGTGACACGGGAATGATGGATACATGTAGACACACACATGGGAAGAGTCATAGGACCTTATAGTAGAGAGTGAATCTCCCTGCGAACTGTGCCCTGCTGTAGTCAGTATGCTTCCTCCTCTGTAGAAACCCACACTACACAGGGACACGATGCTAAAAGCAAGAGGAAGAGGAGGGGTGGGGAGGGATGTGTCAAAGCTGTACTTCCCCATCAGTTGAAGAGCTGGGCAGTGGTGGCGCACGCCTTTAATCCCAGCACTTGGGAGCCAGAGACAGGTGGAACTCTGAGTTTGAGGGCAACCTGGTCTACAGAGAGCTCCAGGTCAGCCGGGGCTACACAGAGAAGCCCTGTCTCTCTGTCTCAAAAAAAAAAAAAAAGAGCAATTGAAGAAAGTTGAATACAGATGAAATGAGAAAAATGGGAATTTTGGAATAATATTGATGCCGATTTAGACCTAGGACTGTGGTAAGCATGTGTAGCACGGTGAGGAGCTGTATTTGTTAAATGTGGACAACACAGAAGAGACTGCTTCACTGGATACCATTGCAGGCATCTCTCCCTGCTCCCTCTTGGCCACCCTAACTCCTTGAACAATGACATTTAACAAATGGCAGGTGTTATGGAGGACTTGGGCTGTCTTGCAAGGAGAATACCCAATACTTTTATTTTATACCAATACAAATAGGGCCAATGAGAAGCCAAGGACAATGGCATGGGGTTTTGATCCTACTTCATGTTCTGGCTTTGTGGGAGCCTGGCCAGTTTGGATGCTCACCTTCCTAGACATGGACAGAGCTGGGAGGACCTTGGACTTTACACAGGGCAGGGAACCCTGACTGCTCTTTGGACTGGAGAGGGAGGGGGAGAGGAGTGGGGGGAGGGGAAGAAGGGTGGGAGGAGGGGGAGGGATATGGGAGGCTGGGAGGAGGCAGAAACTTTTTTTTCCCTTTTCTCAATAAAAAAAAGCAAAAATAAAAAAATAATAAAAAAAATAAAAAGAAGCAAAAAAAAAATCATTTGTGTCCAGAAAGCGAAGTTCATTTCCTTCTTTGTTGTGCAAGAGCCACAAACAAATAGAAGCAACTCTGGAATGGTTGAAGCCCAGAGATGCTTTTGGAGCAGGCTACCCACAGTAGCAGACACAACATACTGAAAAACACGCCTACGCGGTGAGGAGGTGGAGGCGGAGGGACTGTAATTCAGGACTGGCTGTTATTTTTGTTTTAGATTCTAAAACCTAAGAAGGAGTCCTAAACAAACTTTTCTCTCTCCCTCCCTACTTCCCTCCATCCCACCTTTCTCCTTCCACCCCTTTCATTCTTTCTTCTTTTAAGCAGCATCTGTCTCGCCCAAATTGGCCTGAAACTCACAATCCTGCTGCTTAGCCTTCCAAGTGCTGGGATTACATGCTCACAACCAACTTAAGATGTTCCAAATACATGTCAACCCGCTCCCCACACAAACAAGACTAAAACCATCACATCAACTTATTGTGCCCCATCTGGAGAAGAGAACAGGGATCCTTACTTCCAGCCCCTGCTCTTGTACCAGGGTGCCCTGGCTGGCTGTGTTTCTGTGACTGTCACATAAACGTGAAGATGCATTTGTTAACCGTCTAACTGTGAGTGCGGAGCCTCAAAGTAGGATACACAAAGTTACTAGTTCTGCATCACAGAGACTAACAGAAGCAATTCCTCATTCCACAAAGAAGGAACAAAGCCATCTAATTGGTTCCTGTGGGTGTGGTTCTGACATGGGTCGCCAAAATTGGCCCAATACTTTTGTCCTTGTAAACCCAGGATTCTAGAAGTGGGAAATGATCACGAGGGACTGGAGCATTCGTGG